AGCGGTCACATCTTTGGGGAAGAGGGTGGGAGGCCAGGTCTGTGCCGGTGTTAGAAAGAGGAATGGAGGAATGGAGGCTGGAGGTAGAATGCCACTTTGGAAGGGGCCCCAAGCTCAAAGCAGAGCCACCTTTGTCCTCCCCAGGCCACCCTGTTCCCCTCCACTGCCTACCAAGTCAGTCTTCCTCCTCAGACACTGGACGGCCAGGGCCAGGCCCTGGTGCTAGGACAGATACTGAAGCGAAACACAGAGGCTCTCGTGTGCTTCACTGGCACGTAAGACAGCTCCTTGGCATCTGTTTGGTTCACCACTGTGTGCCCTGTTCTTAGCATGGCACCTGACACAGGGGTTTCCAGTAAGCAGTGCTGAACCCTCAAGTGATGGGCAGGGTGACCTCATGGCACACTGCGGACAGTACACTGGTCTCTGCAACATTCTCATGAGTTAGGAGTACTGATATAATGCTGAGTGCTTTTTATCCATTGGCTTCTGTACTCTTCCCCATGACCATTAAGAAAGATTCTGTTGGGCCGGGGATTTAGCTCAGTGGTTTCGACACCTGCTATGCAAGCGCAAGGACCTGAGTTCGATCCCCAGTACCAAAAACAAAAAAAAAAAACAAAAAAAAAAGGAAAGATTCTGTTACTGTCTTCAATTTAGAGATTCAGAACGTAGCACAAAGATGTTAAATGCAGGTCATAGAGCCAGTGAAGACATGGAGAATGTGTGTGTTGACTGGGCTCTCTCCATTTTGCTCAGGGGTCCCTCACCACTGCGCGCCTCCCCTTCCTCTCCACTGTGGAACAGGGTGGGAAGAGCCCAGCTACCAAGAGCTGCCCCTGCATCAGAGCACCGAGCCAGCCCTGACCCTCCCACTGTGTCACCCTGCATTTGTACACAGCTCCTCAGACCCCAGGGCCACAGTGCCCATGAGTGTATCTCAGCGTCTGTTAGGTCACTCAGTTCTAGGCTCAGCTCTAGCCCCCTGGCCCTTCCCTTCCCTGTCCCTCAGTCGCCCTGCCTAGCCAGTGCCTCAGGCAGCTGGAGCCGTTCTGGCAAAACTTCTCAAGGAAGGTGAGACCGAAGCAGCTGACCCAGCTGAGAAAGCAGCCTCAGGCCATGGGAGCCCAACCGGTCCAACCAGAAAGTCACAGCCAAGGCAGATTCCTCACCCAAAAGGGGAGCAGCCTAAGGGTGGCTGTTCAAACAAAAGGTCCAGAGACCACATGAGGTCTACTCAGGGGAGGCAAAGGAGGAGAGAAACAATTCCTGCGCAGTCCCTTCGGCTTGCATGAGTGGCTTATAGGCCACCCTGGGTCACCATGCAGAAAGGGGATCAAAGGGCCCATGAATGCAGATGTCCATGTAGGACAGCTTCTTGCCTGAGCAACAGCAAAGGCCATAAAAGCCCCTTTGGCCACTTGATGGGTTTGAGCCCTGTCCCTTATCTGAGTGAAATCAGAGCAGGTGATTATGTGGAGGCTGACGCTGGTACCACGGGGAAGGGGGGGGGGAGTTTCAAGGGGGAAGGAGGAGCTGCTTAGGAGGTTCCTTCAGGCCTGGATGCACAGCTGCACAGCCCTTGACTAGTCCCCCTGCTTCAAGTCTGAACCCCTCTTCTAGCCAACGTCAAGAGCACCCTGCTCAGAAACCTTTTCATCCACCAGGACCTTGATGCCTCTGCCAACTGCTCACATTCATTCTTTAGCAAGTTAACAACATGTATGGAGATGCTACCTGGCCTGCCCTGGGCTAGAGCCTAGGGAAACAAAGAGGGATAGGACTGGGACTCAACCTCAAGGCACCTATCATTTGGGAGACAGAGAGATAGCAGAGGAATGTTCTCCAGACTGCCCCAAGTTCCATGAGCACCCACTCACTTCACACCTGTTAGCTCTGCTCGCTGCTGTTCATCTGCTCCCTTCTGCTGCAGGAATGACCACAGGCAGCCCACACTGCAGAGCCAGCTTCAGGCTTCCTGGCTGGTCAGTCAGAATTCACAGGGAGGGGCCTTTCTCCTCTTATCTCCAAAAGCAGTAGCACTTGTCTAGCCATAATACCCATCACCATTCACTGGCTGCTTCACACCTTCCATGGATAACATGAGACCTTTCAAGAGACCTTCATTAGCAGGAGTAGTAATGACTGATCCCTTACACTGAAGAGTGCTTCACCAAGTACTTCTGATTATCATCTCCTTGTGGCACTACCTCTTCCTTTTGCTTGTTTCACTTCCCTAACTGGAAAGCTTCTGGGGGCAGGAAAAGTTGGACTGCAATAAGTCATTAAAATGCCTGGACAGGTGCTTTGTAGAATGCTCAATTACCATAACAGGGGAGGTAGCATTGTCAGGTAATAGCTGTAGGGAGAGAACTGAAGGCTCTGACTGCACCTTCTTCTGCACCAGCCCCCACTGGGAACACAGCTGCTGGAGAAAGGAACACCCACACTGGCACACACCCAGCTGCAGGCCACCTGCCCACCTGCTGGGCAGAAGGATTGGGGAGGGGCATCAGCGCCTTGGTCTCCCTGGAAGGTCTCCACACTGCTCCCCGGCAGGCTCTTCCACAAAGTGTCATAGGAAGCAGGGTACACAGCAGGTCACACAAAAGAACCAGCCTAGATGACATCAAAGGAGCCAAGAATCTGGACTTGGTCTCGGCAGTGACTGATGAATTGCCTCGTTTTCCCCTTTCACACACAAAAAAAGACATTTCCGGGGAACGCTGCCTACATTGGTGCCCAGCACGATGAAAGACTGTGCTTGGGTGCAGCTGAACCACAGTGACTGTTATTCGTCCTGGAACCTCCCACGGCTTTTTAGGGGAACAGATGAAAAATGAGTATGACCTGGCCACCTCCATTTCCTTGGCTGCCCTTCCATCTCCTCAGAAAACTTTCCAAATCACCTAAGGAAAAAGCTTCTCTTAACCATCCAACTCTTTCCCTTAAGTTGTAGTTAATGCTGAGAAACACAGCCAAGATGAGGGAGAACCACAAGCCCTTACTGAGCTTTAAATAAGAAAGTACTTAGGAAACCCACTGGGGCAGATTTAACAAGGCTGACATGAAGAAAGGCGGGTTTCTTTCCTCCACTGAGCCCAAGCTCCTAAGGACTCCTCTGCATCCTGTGGACCGGGGGGACCTGGCAATCAAGCAGAGAAAGAATTCTGAGAACTATCTTCAGGGTTTCTGCCAACATACCAAGGGCCTGGGTGGGAGAGGGTGCTGGGATGGCACCGCTGCCCCTAAAATGATCTGCCCAGAGGGTTTCTGAGCAAGTTTCTGGTCTATCTCGAATTCACCTTTTGGCAGGAAGAAGGCATCTAAGAAGGGAGATTTCAGGGTAAAGAGACAAGAAGGGTTTGTGATTAATGCTGTGGGGCAAGGGATCCTCAGAAAGTCCATCCCAGAGTTTTACAAATAGAGGTTCCCTCATTCGTCTGCTGAGAGGGTGAGGCATGTGTCTCCCAGGGGAGGCTAGCTCCCCAGGACACTAGGAAAAAGTCTTGCGAGCATTTCCAATAAGGGGGTGTGAAGTTCTCTAAGGGAAAAGACAGGTTGCTCCTGGGACTTGGAATGTGGCCAGGAAACCAGACTGCATGTGACTGCTCTTCAGGGAAAGGCCAGGGCCCCAGGCAGCCCACAGTTCTCTGCAAAGAGCTCAGCAGTTTCTGGCACCAGGCTCACATCAAAAATAGCCACTGCCGGGCTAGGGATTTAACTCAGTGGTTCCGGCACCTGCTTTGCAAGCTCAAGGACCTGAGTTCAATCCCTGGTACCAAAAAAAAAAAGCCACTGCCAGTTTCAGTAAGTGGTAACCTGCTGACCTTTGTCCCCAAGCCTACAACCTGTCATCCTCCTCCATCTGGTCCCTCAGCCACTCCCAGCTCCTCCCATGCCTTTGTCCAATACCTGTCTCTTCCCTGAGCCTTCTTCCCCAGGGGCACACCACCCTCTCCTATCTCTGAAATGTCCCTCACAAGGCTCTGTTCTTCTGGCTGCATATTCCTCTCTCTTGGCAAGGAGCATGTGTTGAGGGGGAGTAAGGAGAGAAATCCTCCAGAGGAAGCTGAGAGCTGGAGCCCTCCCTGAAGGCAGCAGGGGCTTCTACGAGAGCATTCTAATAGGATGGTCCCCCCCCGCCCCACCAGGTGTTCCCAGCCAGCACCCAGCCATGAGGAGGCTGCTCCACTGCTGGCCAAGGTGGAACCAATAAGGTGTGGGCAGAATCCCCTCAATTCAGGCTTCCCACTGGAGGGGGCCTTTCAGGACCCATGAGGGCGAGATTTCACTCAGAGAGGAGGCCACAGACCCACTCCCAGAACAGGTGACCCCTCAGGTACTGTCCAGGATGCCCCAGGCCCTGTCCCTTAAACTACAGACTCCAGGACCGCCACATCAGACAGGCAGCCTATGGTGGGCCCTGTTTGCCACCTGAAGCCCCAGCTCCGCTCGCCCGGTCTGCAGAAGCATTTCTCGCCTTCCTCCATCTTCCTCAGCCTCCTTCAAAACAAATGCTCCAGCCACCCGACTGTCCCTTTCTCCGTACCGCGACTTCCTGCCGTCCGCGCCTTCCTTCCAGGCGTACCACCTTGTGGTTACCTTCACTACAGTGCCCTGGAAATGAATGCTCCTCCTCGTCCTGGCTCCACGCTGGGTCACCCCGAACTGAGGGTACCTCAGTGACTGAACCCCTACCCTGACCCTTCCCCCAGCACGAGCTTTCCTTCCCTCCCCCTCTTCGGGGCTGTGGGGATGGCATTTCTCTGCCTCTGAGTCTCGCTGCCCCAGCTCGGGGTATCCGCCCCCGCCCCCCGTTTCCTCGCCCCGATGGCAGGCAAGAGGGCGCCCCTCATCTGCAGGACCCGAGCTCACCCGGCCTCCCGCACCACCGCTCCCGACCCGAGGGGCGACAGGGGCCGCCGGGCTGGCGACCGACTGGGCCGGGGAGGGGGAACCGGGCGCGAGGATGGGAGGGTCGGGCCACCGCCCCTTACCGATGGTGGAGATGTGCGAGGAGTGGAACTCGTTGTCGGTGAAGCGGCACAGCAGGCAGGTCTTGCCCACCCCGGAGTCCCCGATCAGCAGCAGCCGGAACAGCACGTCGTACTGCTTCGCCATGGCTGGGCCGAGGGGCCGGGAGCGGGCAGCGCGGGCTCAGCCCCGCTCAACCGCGGCCATCGCGGGGCGGGAGGAACCGGCGGCCGCGCTGGCCTTGCCGGCTCGCTGGGCGCGGGGAGCGCGGCGGCGGCGGGAGCGCGGGCGGTGGGAGGAGAGAGCGGCGGCGCGGGGGCCTGGGCGAGGGGCGGGAGCGCGCTGGGCGCCGAGACCCCGCGGGGGCTGGGGGCCGGGCCGGGAGGCTGGGCGAGGGGGCGAGGGGGCGGCGGGATGGGCTCGCGCACTGCCCGGCTTCCCAGTCCCCTCACTGCTCCCCAAGGCCCACCCTAAGTCTGGCCCTCGTAACTCCGCCCTAAGGGGCCTCCGGGTCCCGGCGCGGCTCCTCACCTGGGCTCACCCCGCCTCGGAAGGCCTGGATCAAGATCTGGATTGAAGCCGCTGCCTCCACCGCGCTCCAGGGCTGGCAGTCCCCCTCGCTGCCATCTGGCCTCCCCGTGACACTGTGACTGGGTGACCCGCTCCCATCCCCATTTTTGTCATTAAATGGGGTGTGTGGGGGAGATGCCCGCTGATCTCCTTCACCAGGAGGAAAAGCTAGATGACCATGAAAACATCTCCGAAAGGCAGAATCCTTTGGAGCAGTTTGGGGTGGAGTCTGCTTGGGATCGGAGTTGTTTAGGGTCGCTTCTTGGGATGCCAGCGCTATTTCCAGCTACTTAACATTTCTGATGCGGCCACACCAGTGGCACCCAGGAATGAATGGAGACTCTAGAGACTCAGTTTACTGCAACGGAATGTGTTGGCACTGAGAGAGGTAAAGAAATCCTCTCTGGAGTTGAAAAATTCCGCATTCCTAAGAACCAGTGTTAGGGGAGAGCAAGTCTTCCCATTAGATCTCTAAAAAGCAATGAAAACCCGTGTACGCGCGCACGCGTCTGTCTGTCTTGCAGGCTGAATATTAGATGGAGAATTTTTTTTTTCAGTAGTAGGATAAGGAAAGATGTGGGTCCATTTGCTTGTCTTGAAGAGCAAAATGCCTACGTTAAAGAGGGGGAAAATCCTGAACCTGATAGTTACTTTGATTACACTAAAAGCTAGAGAAGCTGATTCTGTGAGTTCAATCAAGACTTCACACTCAGGCCTGGGATTTAGCTCAGTGGTTTCACCCCCTGCTGCGCAAGCGAAAGGACCTGAGTTCAATCCCCGGTACCCCCCCCCCCAAAAAAAAGACTTCACACTGGCTTTCAGGCACATGCTGAGGCTCTGAGTTAGGCTCTCTCTGGGTCGGCCTGGATCCACTGCTCACTAGATGTGCAACCTTGAGCTCACTACCAAAACACTCTGAACCTCAGTTTCCTTATCTCAAAATAGGGATATTTAAACCAGGCCTGTAATCCCAGCATTCTAGGAGGCTGAAGCAGGAGGATGGTGAGTTCAGAGACCAGCCTGGGTAACTTATCAACTTAGTGAGACAATCTCAATATTAAAACAAACAAACAAACAAACAAACACCTGGGGATGTAGTGCACTGGGAAGGCCCTGGGTTCAATCTCCAGTACTACAGGGGAAAAAAGATATTTAAAGGATTGTTGGAAAGGTGAAAAAAAATAATATGGAGAGAGGACTTTAGTATATCACTTTATTATAGACAGCTAAGTTAGGTAAAAATGTTATAGGCAGTCAGACAGGACTAGGCCCTTGAGAGAGTCAGTACAGAAGATGAGAACACATCCCAGCTGTGGCTAGAGGCACATCTGTCAAAGACCAGGCCTTGGATTTAGCTCAGTGGTTTTGCTGCCTGCTGTGCAAGCACAAGGACCCGAGTTTGATCCCCAGTGCCAAAAAA